CAACCACATTGGATCTGTTCTTTCACCTGCCAAGGGACGTTGTCTTGGGTGGTCAGGGCTGCCAACTGCTCGGCTAATAGGATCCGGTTGTCTAAGTCCCGAGTGTACAGCACGTATGCTATGAGCTCTGCACTGCTGTTATCCTCGTCTTGCGATGGCAAACAACTAAGTGCATCGGCATTAGCATTCTGCTGTACATTCCGATAGTGGATGTCACACTGGTACGCTGAGTGAAGTAGCGCCCACCTTTAGATTCTGGCCGCCGCCATTTGGTGAATTGGCCGCTTCGGATGAAACAACGCCGTTAGTGGCTCGTGGTCCGTTACCAGGGTGAAGCAGTTGCCGAAGAGATATACTCGAAATTTCTAAACTCCAAAGACCAAGGCCGGGGCCTCCTTTTCCAGTTCCGCCGATGTCAGGATCCTTGAACGCAACGATATCGGGAGATTTCTTCCACTGATGCAATGCGAGAGCACCGCCCTGAGGTCATGGGGTGAAGCGTCGCATTCCAGCCGCGGCTGCTTCGGAGAGTCGTAGTGGAGAAGAAAATCCGCCTCGTTCATGGCGTGACTGGTCTCTTGGACGACCCTTTCCTGGCCTTCACCCCACTGCTAATGCGCTCCTTTTGTCAACAACCGGTATAGCAGAGCCAAGGTCATTGTCAGGTTGGGTAAAAACTTGGCATAATACAAGACCAACCCCAGGGAGGATTTCAGCTCGTTCACCGACGTCGGTCTCGGCGCTGCCGTCACTGTTTCGATGTTGTTTCGTTGAGGGCGCAGACCCATGGCATCTATCTTGTGTACCAAAAACGACACTTGTTTCCCTCTGAACCTGCATTTTGCTTGGTTTGACTCGAGGCCATTGTCTCGTAGCCATTAAAACACCCGCCGGAGCATCGACGTATCGTTTTTTGATGCACGGCTCCGCAAAGACATCATCAATTTTCGGCAGTGGATAGTGCTCCAGGTGTGCAGCAGACTGTACAGGTAGCTCGAAATCGCCACACAGTCTTATCTCACTCTTCTTCTTTGCCACTGGCCTCACTAGTGTGGCCCACACCAAAATGTGATTCGAAGAGAACGGTGGGGTTCTGCAGAACTCAACCGTTCTGTACCTCCCCGTACAGAACGGTTGAGTTCTGCAGATACCTTTTCACATAACGCGTATGGCACTGGGTGCGCCTCACAGATGCCGAGGAGGAGAGCTTCTTTCTTGTATATCTTCACGGGTGGGCCGTCACAGCAGCCCCTTTTTTCAGATGCCCAAAAACTCTTCTAGCAAATCGTGCACATAGGCATCTTTGCATAGCACGTTAATGTGGGGGGACATTCCCACTTCCAGCAGAGACACACTTGTGTAGTTCAATGCTTGGATCATGCCACAGCCACAAGGTGAGGGTCCTCTGCAATCTACGACAACCAACACGCTCCTCACTACCGTTTGGTTGTGTTCAACGCTCGTGGGAATTCTACCGAGCACCGGCAGAGGCCCCAGGAAGCAAGACAAGCGAACGGGAGTCTTCTCCAATGCAGGCCATCACTTCTAGCGTCTCTTGAAAATGTTCTCGAGAATCATGCTCACCGGCGATCCAATGTTCACAAACATGCGCAGCTTCCGACCTTCCCGCGGCAGGTCCTGGCATACTTGTGAAATGCGGAGTTGTGGTGCTGGCACTCGTCTGCCGCATGGTGGGTGTCGCATCTCCGACACAACTCGCGAGGATAGACTACGCCAGTACCTTGCCTAGCAAATCGACGATTTTTGTGCCGACTTTAGATGGAATGAACACCACCACCTCTGTGTATGGAATCTCTTTTCCTCGTTGCTCGTTGCGTTCTTGCCGGCTGTCTCTGATGAAATTGCGAGTTCTTCCGTTTCTTCCAGGCTCATTTCGTAAGTGCGAGTAAGAAACGACATGCCTGGTCATCCCGGATGCTACGGATGATTCGGTCCCGCAACATGCAATTTAAGGTCTCGCCAAAATTGCAATTTTTGGCAAGACTCCGCAGATCAACTACAAATTCTTTTCCTTCCTCTTGTTTTCGCATAAAAAACGCGTAGCTGGCAGCCATTTCTTTAACTTGGGGATCATAGCATTCTTCAAAGTAACTCGCAACTTTTTCGTAGATCAGGCTGTTGACAGGCATCAACTCGCAGCGCCCTTGCAGCATGCGAACGATGTTGTTGCTGAGCGACGATATCGGGAGGGCGCGGCACTTCCCCGGATTCGTAACACCATGGCCTTCAAATAAGCCTTCGGGCATATCCGGTACATGCTCCAGGTGCTCGTTGTTTCATCAAACTCAGGTGGGTATGACGCCATCTCTGCTCGCTTCCCAATTTAATGTGGTTCCGTCGTGAAAAAATCCACATCAGTCATTGCCACTGAAGCACCGTACAAGACTGGTAAGAACCCGAAGGTCTTATTCTACATAAACCACCCGGTTTGCCATGGGTGGTTTGGTCACCCGAGAGCTCGCAGCCTGCGCATGGGGCCAGAGCTCCACGTCGTCGTCCAGCTCTATCGTGGAGCCGTGGCATAGTCCTTCATAACCCCCCCCCCCCCCCCCCCCCCCAAGATCCTGATTATTAGCAGTTATGTACGGTCGGGGACAAAAATCCCCAGGACGCGCGAGCTGCGACTGAAACGCATTGCTGTGCTATCTGCCGGTGGGTTGTCTGGTTTCGAGATCACACAAAAGTGCATGCGCATCCTACTCTGCCTGCAAACATGTGTGTTTTCCCGTTCTTCTGCGGCGCGGCGCCTAACTCGGAATCGGGCGCGTGTTACCGCCTCGGAGATAGCGCTTGCGGCTGACGAGCGTCTGCTACACATTCCGAAACTGGAGATACCGCCTGCGGCATTGCGCCAAATTTTGCCGTGTCAGCGCAGCTTGCTTTCTAACCAGTTGAGCTTATTGCTCAGTTGAGCTGCCGTGACTCCTTGCTTTATAGGTGCCATGTCGGTAAGCCCTATCCCCGAGGCGGTAACACACGCCCGATTCCGAGTTAGGCGACGCGCCGCGGAAGAGCGGGAAAACACAGATGTTTGCAGGCAGAGTAGGACGCGCATGCACTTTTGTGTGATCTCGAAACCAGGCAACCCACCGGCAGATGGCAGAGCAATGCGTTTCAGTCGCAGCTCGAGCGTCCTGGGGACTCTTGTCCCCGACTGTACCTCTGTGCCAGAATACACCACACCTTTTTGCATGAGATCAAAGAAAAAGGATCCTTGTCTGAGTCTACGAGGAGCACCAGAGGAGAGCCATGTTTAGCATGTGCAAAGGTCAGTTGATTTTTTCTGGCCTAAAAGAGGTCTGACCCAGCTGTCCAAGTACCCCATGTATATGAGATAACATTGCTCTAAGATTAGTCAGGGTGGCTGCAGATCTGAAATTGTCTCCTCTCCATCGGAGCCTGACGATAGTCTTTAAACGGTCCCTAACGTAGCAGCTCAAAATAGCAAGCTTTGGAGAGCGCTCTACTTTGCAGTGTTCTTCACGTAAGTGGACGCCCACAGATTATGTAAATATGACATATGCAAGTGGTAAACAGAAGTGAAAGAGGTGGCTGGAATTCACTAAAAAAGAGCAAAAATTAGATGAATGCAACTGGTCAAAGCCAGGCTCTATTCAATTGTGTTGCAATATGTAAATTTAAATAATAAAATTATAAAATGTCTTTCAACCACCACTGAGTCTGACACACCCCAATTTTCAAGAAAATTTCAATGCACTGTAGATGTCACAAGAAATTAGTCCCAGCATGCACTGTGAGAGTAAAAAGAATGACAAGCGGTCAAAAAAGCTTTTTTGAAAGAGCAACACGTGCTTCATCCAAAGGTGTGGATGAAAACTGCCTGTCACAGTTATCCCAAATAATAGTCATTGTCACATATTCACAATTTTCTTCAACTTGTTAGAAATTAAGCACCATAGATGGTGTCAGAGGCAAGTACATTTCATTAGACTAATGGTTCTAATGACAATGTTTGAGGGCTGCCAGAGATTGGAACAAACTCGATACATTAGGTGCTCAAACTAACTGTGCCACTATAAAACATACATTGTTGAAGGTAAGTGATAAAATATACAAGCAACGGGCGAGCTGGTGACAATTCCTTTTTGAAAAACTTCGAGACTGAGCAAAAAAGAGAAAGGGGATTCTGCGGGGGGGTGTCCCCTTTTTTCTGTTTTCCTCACTCTCGAAGTCTTTTAAGATACTTTCTTAAAGCATTCTAATTAATTCAAAGGGCTGATTCATAGCCTCTTCCCTGTATCTTGTTCCAAGACACATCACCACCTTTCCTTGATGTGTTTCAATGCACACTCCATAGTTCTAAACCGAGAACAGTGACACCACTTGCATGAGGAAGGTGCAGTCACAACTTACTGTTGAAATCGCCCTTGAATTTGTGTGGACGGCGACAAGTCATGAGCACTGATTGGGTTGACGTGTGGTTCTAACCCTTTGGGCACGTTCAACCTGCATGACCTGGTAACAGAAGTAGCATTTCTCTCGGCCCTCGGTTCAAATGGAAACTGACATTACGGGCTGAGTGGCATCTGAGGTGGCTGCATATACACAATCCTGCATGGGTGTGACATGTGTCATGTTTATGCCTTCTGCGAGTAAGACAATCTCTCACTTGACGCCTTCGTTCTCAGAAGACCAACGGCCATGTCTAAGGCTTAGACGAGGGTTACAATATGAAGACACACTTTAGAAGGGTGAGGCTTACCAACCAATGGCACAACGGCACCAGAATTCTGACTTTGGTAGTATGAAGACCTGTCCGCTGCCCTTTGTTTGCACTCTGTTTTTTTCGGTTATTGCTACTACCTATACCCATGTAAATAAACTAGACTTTCAGTCTGCTTATTTGTGTCCCACCTTCGCTTCGGGCAACGAGACCATGGCAAATGGGGAATGGATGTCAGCCTGAGCCTCGGGCCTTCGGACGGGCGACAGGAAACCCCACCTCGAACAACACTTACGATCAATTCGACGTCTTCTTTCTTTATGACCACCTTTGCCAGTTCTTTTTGCCGGGCTGCCTTTTCTGCTGTTTCTTTTGAATGCCTGTCTCCGATAAGGGACATCGCCTGAAAAGCACACACCAAAGTTCATTAGTGATTGCTAGGTTACGTATAGATTGCACCCTTCTAGGCTGAGAAGCAGTATCAACTAACGCTCAAACGGTACACTGTCTAACCTTCAAGCGTTGAACCTTTATTTAAATGAGCACAATATTTTCGTTAGTGGTCCAATCTTTATTTTTTTCTCAGTCATATTTGTTGGAAGGTGCGGAAAGCTTGGCTTCCAAAACTTAACAGGGATTTTACTAAGAGCAATGACAATAATGCTAACTTTCATGTGCTTAAAAACAACCGGCAGGCCATAACTTTGGTGCACAAATAAAAGCCAAATGATCACTGTAAGGGAGCCCCAAGTCTTGCCCCAGAGTATGTGAGTTTCATTCAGCTCCCCAGGTGGTGTGAATGCCAGTTTCTAAATTTCATCTCTCTCCACACGAGCTCGTGAAAAAACAACAAGAAACACCAATTTCTAGTCAGTCATTTCCTGCTGTCGCAACATTCAGTTGAGTGCCGTGTTTCACAGCTAAGCTCTGGCCCTGGGGGAACCTAGAGCTCCAAAGCACACTGTTTAGTGCTCGACGAATCTACAAACATTCACGTCAAGCTACAAATCGTCAGATCGTGGTTCCGGTTAAAGGCCGACGGGTAGTCAGAAAGGAGGAAATTCCCCTTCAATTCCTCCTTTCCATTTGTGAAAGAGGCAGACCCAGGGCCGTAACCAGGGGGGGGGGGGGGGGGGGGGGTTAGGGAATTCCGACCCCCCCCCCCCCCCCCCCCCCCCCCCCCGAAATTTTTTTCTGGGTACGGCCCTGGTCGGTGCACTTGCAGCCAGCCGATTTTAATCTCCACCTCTGCGCACGCGCAGTGGTCCCGGTCGGCTACCGGATACCAAACCGGGACCGGTTCTTCGGTTTGCTATAACTCTCCATTATATGCCACCGATGCACATGATTCATAGGCGAAATAAGACAAAATGGCCGCCGTTGTCCCCGAAACCCCCCCCCCCCCCGAAATTTTTTTCTGGGTACGGCCCTGGGCAGACCCTTGCCCTTTCTGCAGGGAGCAGCTCAGAGACCCGCTCCTGTGAAAAGAGGGGGAGGGAAGTGTGCGAGAGGGAATGGAGAGAAGGAAACTGGGAACCTGTTTGTTCCAGGCAGAAGACAATTAATTCTGTAAGTCGGCCTTAACTGAAAATACCTGTGGTGGTAACATAAAAATCTCTTCCTCGACAATGCTGAAAAGGGTTAATGTTCCGCTGCAGAAATTTGTTGCAGCTTCGACCGAGGATGCACCCACTATGGTCGTCAAGGATGCAGGCCTTTTCCCGAGAGGTCTGCAAAGAAGGCTTAGGGGAGTGCCGTCTACGACATCTGCCTCAAGATAAATGTTGCTTTTCTGCGTGGTTTCGTTCGCTCCAGGAAGTCAGAGCGATTCGGACACAGATGAAGATGCATCTATTGCCGTTTCGTATACAGCTGCGCAGTCACACAGGCTTCTTGAACTCCGGCAAGTGCACTTCCCAAGTTGGAATGACTGACTGTTGTACGCATGCTGCAGCTGTTTGAAATTATGTGTGTGGTCAATAACGAGACCTGCACAGCCAGACCACAGCAATGAGGCAAGCCGTTAAAAATATGGAAGTAGGACGTGAACATGACTACCACTAGCTTGTTAATAGGTACTCTGAACGGGTTGAATGACAAAGTCAACCATTAGTACACACTACGACACTGTAAGGTGTTGGATCCAAAAAGGATAATCTGAGCCTAATTGCAGTTGAATATAAATAACTTTTTATGCCTGAAAATCTTTTTCTTTCCTTTTTTCGTTGTTAGGCAGTTATACATGATATATTTCAAACCCAAGCACAGGAAAAGGGTTTCATATTACTTCTGCTAGAAATGTAATGAACTCTGATTTTTATTTAAATGTTCAATTATTTAACTTTCAGATTCAGGTACATTCTAATGTCTACATAGTGATCATTTTCTAGAGTTCCTCGGAAAGTAATTATGCTCGATGTATGGTAAGTTCTACATCGTTTTAGTAAAAATATATAAAAAAAACCTAGCATATAGCCACTAGTGGCAATTTCTTTTAAACAATGCATACAAGTCAGTGCACAATGTTAACTACAATTCTCTGCCTCATTTTATCTCTGGCGTCTTTTTACACTTTTACATGCCTTCTAATGTAAGCATCGGAAAACAATGTTGGTGGGTGGGCTTGGTTCTCATTGTTTTAATTGGGTTACTTCATATTCTGGTTTATTTTGTCAGCAGCCAGGGGGAAACTAGAGATTTATTAAGGCGGCAATTAAGAATATTAGCACTACTAATTCATGCGAAATGACGAGGAAATGGTCATTTACCCTGGCGTTGGCGCAGTCAGTTCATGCTTCTTGGCTATTCGTCTAAAACCATCTCTCAGAAAATTAGTAAAACTTTATAGCCGACACCTTCCTTTGTGTCTAAGAGGCTGTTTGGGCAGTTAACCACACAGAAATACCAGGTTCCCTGTCCCTTATCTTTCAGCATCCCGTTTCCTTCGCATCCGTTTTCTAAAGCCAGTGGCTGACGTGACAAGCCGTGATGGACTCTTGCATCATCTGCTCCAAACAAGTATGGGCACGTCTTGCAAGGGGGAGGAGCGGCACTGCGTAAGTGTGGCAAAACTTCAGCCGAACAGCCCAATACTCCATTTGCCCCTACCACAACAGGGTGGCAGAAGCTGCACACTGGTTGGGCTAGTCGCACGTCTATCGTTCACCACAACGTTAACCTTTTCCCATATCCATGGCAAGGAGGGGTTAGGTGATAAAAGGTAGTCAGTTGAATGGTCCAGCAAACATGTGGCTCCCACAGTCCTGTCAGCTCTGGAGTGAACATAGTATAGTACATAAATACATCCCAGTGTAGCCGTCATCTCATCGGTTATCTGAGCCATGCAGTGGGCTCGGGACTTGTGATGTTTGCCTCCATTGGATGCCCACAACGTGACATTAGGGGAGCGGAAACGAATCCCAGCTCTTCGCTCATTTTATGTTCATATGACGTATCCATGAAGCGACCAGATTGAACAAAGAGCGTCTGCCTCTGGGCTAAAACTCTCACTGAAGCTGTGTTAACAAGTTTTGCATTGTTCGAACTTAAAAGCATTAGAGCCAACGTTTCATTAAGCAAGATCTGTGCAGGAGTTATTTGTACAGCTTGGCATCGGCAAGGAGAGTCGTCATGAAGCTGACATGGAAGGGCCATATCGAACGTTGCAAAGGGGGGGGGGAGGAAAAGCAAAAAGGAAGTGAAGTCGTTCTCTGCCTACCATAAAGTTCTGAGAAATGACCACCCCTGAGAGATCACCCACCCGGTTTTTCTGGCTAAACATTTGTAACATAAAAATTCTGAAACATTGCCCACCCCCCCATTCTTGGACGTCACGCCATGTCCGACGGGAATCGCATTTGCCGCGCGATCTGCTGTACCGGTACGTCTGATAAGCCAGTTCATAACGGGTTCCCACATTTTTGTCCGCTATCTGCATGCACGATATCGGCTCCCGTAACACGCGAGTTGTTCCTGTGTGTATAATGCATCATGAAATGTGAATCTGCTGCGTCCGCGATATCCGTTCCCGTGACATGAGAGTTTCTAGCGGGGTCCCGCGTTTTTGTCCACGACCTGTGCGCGTGATATCGATTCCCGTAATGCGCGAGTTGGTCCTGAGTATATATTGCGTCGCAAAATATGATTCGGCTGCGTTCGCAATCTGCGGTATTTGTTCCCGTAACATATGAGTTTGTAGCAGATTCCCGCGTTTTTGCCTGCAAACTGTGCATGCAATATCGGTTCCCGCGACAGGCAAGTTTGTAGCGAATTCCCGCATGTTTATAGCACCATAAAACTTGAATCTGCAGCGTCTGCAACCTGCGGTATCCTTTACCGTGACACAGGAGTTTGTAGCGAATTCCTGTGTGTTTATCGCACCGTGAACTGCGGTATCAGTTCCTGCATCACTTGTTTGTAGCCGGTGTCAGGCTGTTTATCCTTACGTTTTTGTAAAGTTTTGCTGTGGGATCTCTAAAGATAGCCCACCCCATATTTTGGCCATTTAACTCTTCATTATGGGTTTGCATTCTTTTGGAACTTTACAATAAGTATGGGGATGCTGGACATTGCCAATTGGAAGTGATCTTTGTTCCTGTCTAACCCCATTTGACAACAAAACTGACTTGAGCCAGGGGCCACATAAAATTGCCTCGCGGGCCGCAGGCGGCCCCCGAGCCTAGGGCCGCCAACCCCTGATGTAGAGGAAAAGGTCGTTATCCAAGGAGAGGCACCTTCGTCTTCCTGTGTATTGGCAGTGTTGGAGTGGGTGTTACAAAGGAGGGAGAAAAAGTGTAAACTCTAAAACACCTCCACATTAGCAGTAGTTGAATGTTCTTGTGTTTTTCTGGCCCGCTAAGTGGACGCCTCAGCCCACACAGGAAGGAAAACTACTACATTGCTTCTTGTCACTTTCTCATTAACCTGCATAAGCATTCTTAGCACAAACTCTCTAGACAAAGGTTAAATAGTGGATAGATTACTCGTAATAACTAGAAGTCCATCCAGCCCCTTTTCTCGGATACGTCATTGTCTGATTTTTCTGCAACAGCATCCATCAATTTCGGGTTATACAGATTACGGTTTTCAGCAGCCCACCAGCCAGATCTGCATAGAGCATCGGCAAACGCCGAGTTACCCTCACAAAAAGCGAGGGCATCGGTCTACACAGCGGCATGCTCACAGTCACTAGACTACGAAGGACGATTCAAGCGATTAGAAAGCAAGTTTCTACGTACACACATGATGTCTTGGGAGCGAATTTCTTTGTCCTCGGCATAATCCGTGACTTTCTCCAGGTCAGCGGCGCCGCTATCATGCTTGGCGACCTTTTTCAGCGGCTTCTGCTCCTCGTCTCCCGCGGCGTCCTCGATGTCGTCCGACATTTTTCTATTTGGACAGGTCCTATATTTACGCACAAGAGTGGCACGATAAATACACTTGGTCAAGTTAGACCCACTAAACTCGCAAAACTTCGAGAAGAGATCCCTGACAAGCGCGTGCTTCTTCGCCGTACTCCACACGCTGGCTGCGCTTCAGAAGGCCGCCATGTTGTATTTTCTTTTGAAACAACCTTTGTGGACCCTAGCGGCATAAAAGTGAACAACGTAAATAAAATAATGTCTTGTTAAAATACTTTGTCTTAAAACCAAACAAACTAGATATAGTTTAAAGAGAATATTAGGCTGTGTATATTATACAGCACAAACTAGTGGTAAACGCAGCCGACAAAAACTGGTTGGTGCGCCGTGACTCAAACGAACTCGATGCACCCTAGGATATGGTGGGCTAGAGGGAGGATGCAGCATGTGAGACGCTGTGCTGTCTATTTTTTGTCCCTTCTACGTTTTGATGCTTTTTCTCAAACCCAGTCTCCAATTCAAAATAGAAGACTGATGCTGCCGCCATCTTAGTTGTAGAAAAGGTACTTACCTCAATCCGAAACTAGCGCTTTTCTGTTCGGAGCATAACTCTATGGTTCAGAGCACAGTTTATCATATACAGTTTGCCCACTGTAGAATAAGCCTGTGGTAATCGCAAACCACGTGATCGAGGGCCCTGTGAGAATAAAAGTACATTGTAGAACTAAACTCATTACATATTACTCACACAATATTAATTATATTGATAACCTAATAATTTAAAAAGAGCGAAAGTTCCTTAAACAATTATTTAAACTCGTAAAAGCGCCCTCTCAACACGGATGGGGTAACTAACCACATTTTATGCTTCGTTTTTATTGTTTTGCTTTTCAAGATGGCGGCCCCCATGGCATTTTGTGTACCCGGTTCTCGCGTCCGCTTGCGTTGCGCTTTCGCTTTATTGTGACGTGCGCACCACTGGACGACAATCACAGGTAATTTATTCACACAAGAGTTATTTCAAGCAGGCAAATGTTTATTTTCGCTCTACATAGTGCAATTTATAAAACGTTACAAACAGCACATGCAATGATGCGGGTATTATCTGCAATGCTGACGGGTATTATCGAACATACACGGTAGTACAAACAGTTTGAATGTTAGCCTTCAAGCTATGTGCATAAACAATGATAAACCCAAGATCAACAAGCATAGTCTAAACACGTAGAAGTAAAGTCGCGGTAAAGGTATTTCAAAACAGCTATTCATAAACCATGCAAAAAAAAACTGAACAGACGCGACAGTTTTACATAACGAGTGCGATTACAAACCAGTTGCTTTAACAGTAACTACAGGCTAATGTGGTAAAGAATAAAGCTGTGCTTGGAGGTGCATATGACCTGCCTGTCCGTTCCCCCCCCCCCCCCCCCAAGATGAATGTTCAACACACCTGGGGGGTATGTTCGACGACAAATGTTTCGTTTCTCCTAAAAAGAAACGGAAGTGATGGAAGTGAAGATATTGCGTCTCATTGGTTAGAGGCTCAAATGATGAAAGTTCCCCCTTTCGTCATTTGAGCCTCTAACTAATCAGACGCGATATCGTCACTTCCATCACTTCCCTTTCTTCTTAGGAGAAACAAGACATTTGTCGAACATTGCCCCCCTGGTCAGACCCCTGGTCAGTTTTCTATATGTTGGATCGAGCCAATCAATTTTTTCAGCACAATGTTAAGCTGTTAGGTTCGATGATAGCGCGCCTTTACAACTCTCCGTCTCCTGATCTGCCTAACGGGGCTACTGGCCCTTTGACAAAAATATCACCTATCATCGACAAACCGTAAGCACCTAGAATGCCACTTTCTGACTGCAGCATCACCATTGAACATTGTAATCCATGGTAGCAACCTCCTGGCTCAGCATTCTTCACTCATCGCCCTCGCCAACCTCACCTAATCTCGTTATTGCTGATCACTGGTGAAGCACACCCGCCAGCAATATGAAAGTGAACACCTTACCTGGATTCTTGCCCGTTTTACGGCTCCCTAAAGCTATACTGACTCTCAACGTCTCAGATAGTATGTGGCTTGGGGGTCTAAACTTTGCGTTCTAGCCTTCTTCTGGAACAGAGCTTGTTCCAAAACTTGCAGGAGCGTCAAAAACAAGAAGAGGGCTGTTCACCTTCATATCGCTCACGGGTGTACCTTCAAACTCCGGCTCACGTCCCACCTTCCCCTGCTGTTTCCTGCCAGTCGACAATGTCGCCACTCTCCAATGCGACATTTATGATTTGTGGTTCCACCAGAAATGTGAAGATGTATCTCTCGCTTTGTATAGACGCCTCTCCTCATTATCAACCGAGTGGCTCTGTGCGGCGTGCCAGCTCGCACCCCTGGCCGATGACCTCTTTCCATCCCCTAAGCAGCACAGAGCCCCTGTGTACCCCACCATCATCGCCAACTCTACCAAGTAGTTCTCCGACCCGCCTCCGGCGAGCGACATCGGCAGCATTCACCGTTCGCATGACAACTTCGCATTTGGCATAGTTGTCGTGTGAAAAGTGCGCGATCGGAGTCTACAGACTCCAATCCCGTTTGGTTTTCCAACATTTGCTTCCTAAAAAACAACCTTCCTGACTTTAAAGCGCTGAAGTAATCTTTCCCGAATACAATATTCGCTGTGTGCGAGACATGGCTGGACGCCTGTCTTTGGTGGGCAATTAATGGGGAATTGATCAATCTCGCACAATTCTCTTTATTCCAGCAAAACTGTCCCTCCTTGGGGCGAAGGAGTCCGTCCTCGCCATGCCATAACACCTGCCCTGCCAACGTCTCGACCACCTCACCCCTTCGGGTCTAGAAGCCATCTTTGTCGAGGCATTTTGTAAACATGGAAAGCTTCTTCTGGTGTCTACCTACTGCCCACCCTCCCTCCGTGAACAATCGTACGCCCTCCTCCAAAAGAGCCTACAGCGCGTCGACCCCAGCAAGTTCTCTGCACTGTTCATCTGATCCACTTGATGACATGCTGTAAGACGTATTGGAAACTGCTGGCCTCACCCAACTTCATGACGCCTCATTCTACATTTCTCAAAACAGCAACGCTACATTCCTCGACCTCGTCTGCACCAGTAATCCCACCTTATCCTACCGCTGCACAGTGAAATCCAGCCTACCAGGCAGTGATCGCAGTGCTCTCCTCACCAATATCCATTGCCCTAAGCGAGGTCATCAAGCCAAGAAGTTTCAGTAGTTCTAAAAAACCGATTTCCCTCATCTCAATCGGCTCATCCACCTCGCTCCCTGGTTCATCGTGTTTGATCACCCATCGGCGGACGAGGCCGACGACCTCTCACTCAACATATCAGCAATTCAGCACAAATGTGTTCACCCTAAGGATCAATAGGAGGCACGGCAGCCTTCCAGAGATTACAAAGGAGATTGCAGTCTTAATCAGACGTAAACACTGACTATTCAAAGAAGTGCCTCTGAATCCCACTCATCTTTACCGAGCCCACCAGGCACGTACCGAAGTCAAGCATCTCATTCATATCTCCCATAATGATTACCTACCAACAAAGAGCAAAAGCAACCTGCCAGCCCAAACTCTTGGGCATGTTTTCACTATAAAAAAAAAATGTTCCACGCGCCGGTCTTCACACATCACGGCAGGCCCTATTCTAATCTTGACGACATAGCACAGCTCTTCTTTTACCACATTTCTCGGGCTGTAGTATTACTTGACTCTACCGCACCTAACCTTTGTCCCACCCAACCCACAACTCAGCCAATGAAGGCCACACCAGCAATCACACTCTCTTCCATAGTCATTCTTCAAAGTGAAACCTACGAAGCCCTCGCCTGTGACAACTCCTCTCAACGCCCTAGATCAGACAGCCTCCACCCTGCATTGCTTAAATCCTGTGCTGGCTGTATCTCCCCTGTCCTCACTCGCCTCTTCAACGATTTTCTCTCCCACAGCTCTGTTCCTAAATCCTGGAAAGTTGAGTCAGTAACGCCTCTCAAAAAGGGACACGGTGCCCCCTCAAGTCTAACATCCACTTGTGACGGAGTGTATTACCAACTCATTCGGTGCTGTGCGTGCGGGCACGTGTGTGTGTGTGTGTCCCACCGTGGCGTTCGCGCCAGATTACAAAGAATCCTCGCCTCGCGGCCAGGGGAAGAAAAGAGGACAAAGAAGAGGGACAGCAAAAAAAAAAGCGGTTTAGCCATCGCAAGCCTTCGGACGGAGAACGTTGTAGCAGTCGTCTGTGTCGCGAACTAGTCCTGGGTACTGTCTTTTCTCAACGTCGGGGCCCGACGTTGAGGAGAGACAGTACCCAGGACTAGTTCCGGCACATATAACTTTATCTAAACTCGGCTTGAGTTTGCGACACAGACAACTGCTACAACGTTCTCCGTCCGAAGGCTTGCGATGGCTAAACCAAACAATGGAGCCCCCGCCAATATGGTTTCCGCCCGGCAGGAGCTGCGAATCGGCCCTTGCAGCTTTCACTTATGCACTCAGCATCAGCCTCGACAACCGAACTCCGTGCGAGATCGTCCAGTTAGACTTCAGAAAGGCTTTTAACAGAGCAGACCACAGCTTGTTTCTATCCAAACTCCAACAGATGGGAATCTCCGACATGAGGAATTAAAAATTTACTTTTTCACACTACCTTATTCTTCAAGGGCTCTTTTCATGATTTAGCACAAACTGGAAACACTACTAACAGGTAGGGTGTCCACTGAGCTAGGTTATGTGTGCCATTGCGTGTCAAAGGGGCTTTGAGAAAACTAATTGAAGAACACTTTGTCCAAGCTCAAAAGAAAAAATCTTGTTCTTGACCACTGGCTAACACAACATGATGGGAGCAACTGGTTATTGTTTTCTTCCGGTGACTTCAGAACCAGGTCTACTGGCACGACAACCAGCTGTGGTTGTCGTGCTGATCCCTAAGACAGATCGTGATGAGGAAGAGCTAGAGATAAAATTTAAAAGCGCTAACAAAGACGAGGACAAAAAGGAAGGCGAACAGGACGAGCGCTTACTCTCAACTGAACATTTAGCGCTTTTAAATTTTATATCATGAACCAACTCGCCCGCTTCGCCACTTTAGTAAGAGCTAGAGCCCTCCTAGCCACTGTTTTTTCCCAGATATGCAGAACTACCTTTACTGCACTTACCCAACCATTTACACAGTTT